GTGTTCCAATCACTTCCATGGCCACAGGTGTATAAATTCAAGCACCTAGGCATGCAGACTGTTTTTACAAACATTTGTGAAAGAATGGGTCGCTCTCAGGAGCTCAGTGAATTCCAGCGTGGAACTGTGATAGGATGCCACCTGTGCAACAAATCCAGTCGTGAAATTTCCTCGCTCCTAAATATTCCACAGTCAACTGTCAGCTGTATTATAAGAAAATGGAAGTGTTTGGGAACGACAGCAACTCAGCCACGAAGTGGTAGGCCACGTAAACTGACGGAGCGGGGTCAGCGGATGCTGACGCGCATAGTGCGAAGAGGTCGCCAACTTTCTGCAGAGTCAATCACTACAGACCTCCAAACTTCATGTGGCCTTCAGATTAGCTCAAGAACAGTGCGCAGAGAGCTTCATGGAATGGGTTTCCATGGTCGAGCAGCTGCATCCAAGCCATACATCACCAAGTGCAATGCAAAGCGTCGGATGCGGTGGTGTAAAGCACGCCGCCACTGGACTCTAGAGCAGTGGAGACGCGTTCTCTGGAGTGACGAATCGCGCTTCTCCATCTGGCAATCTGATGGACGGGTCTGGGTTTGGCGGTTGCCAGGAGAACGGTACTTGTCTGACTGCATTGTGCCAAGTGTAAAGTTTGGTGGAGGGGGGATTATGGTGTGGGGTTGTTTTTCAGGAGCTGGGCTTGGCCCCTTAGTTCCAGTGAAAGGAACTCTGAATGCTTCAGCATACCAAGACATTTTGGACAATTCCATGCTCCCAACTTTGTGGGAACAGTTTGGAGCTGGCCCCTTCCTCTTCCAACATGACTGTGCACCAGTGCACAAAGCAAGGTCCATAAAGACATGGATGACAGAGTCTGGTGTGGATGAACTTGACTGGCCTGCACAGAGTCCTGACCTCAACCCGATAGAACACCTTTGGGATGAATTAGAGCGGAGACTGAGAGCCAGGCCTTCTCGTCCAACATCAGTGTGCGACCTCACAAATGCGCTTCTGGAAGAATGGTCAAAAATTCCCATAAACACACTCCTAAACCTTGTGGACAGCCTTCCCAGAAGAGTTGAAGCTGTTCTAGCTGCAAAGGGTGGACCGACGTCATATTGAACCCTATGGATTAGGAACGGGATGTCACTTAAGCTCATATGTGAGTCAAGGCAGGTGAGCAAATACTTTTGGCAATATAGTGTATGTATATATATATATAAATGTTCTAATAAAACAAAATGCCAAATATTTTTTAAGAATGTCCTTTTTATATATATATATATATATATATATATATATATATATATATATATATATATATATATATATATATATATATATATATATATATATATATATATATATATATATATATATATATATATATATATATATATAAATGTTCTAATAAAACAAAATGCCAAATATTTTTTAAGAATGTCCTTTTTCCCTTTACAATGAAAATGTCCAAAGCAGATCATAATTTAGTTACAGAGTGACAACAAAGTAAATCTTTTGGGAAATGTATACAAACTACATATGGATTTTTTCTTTATATTTGTTAGTAACATAAAAGAGCAAACATTGATTATTGTTTCTTAAAATATCCATTCAGAAAAAAAATAAAACAGCTGTGTGCTGTAGTACCTGATGACAAGTATTCCAAATATTGTTTTTAAAGATAGATGGACTTGAAGCAAATGGGTCTCTAAGATGATTTAAAAGGCCAGAACTGCTGTAAAAGGTGGAAATATTATATTTGTTATCATGTTATCAAGAAACCATCAGACCGATGTGCCAGAGGCAAGTAAAACAATACACAAACAATTGTATGTAAGTTTTTGTTTTTAAGAATTTTTACTTTTATACACAAAACAATTCATACAGTATATGAAAAATTATGTACGTCTTCTATTTTTCTAGTTGTGTAACAGTGGACTTGTTTGTTCAGTATAACACAGAAAGAACTACCCATCCTAATTTCCATGGGTGTGGAAAAGACTCTGGATGGAGATAAAAGGATGCAGAAAGGAACAGAGACGTGAGACAAAGAGGACAGCAGACGGGTCTCTCAACAGCATTAAAGAAAAACCTTTAAACATGTAAGATCTGTCTTCTTGAATCACACATGTCTGTTTGTTTTAAAACTGTAACTATTAGATTGTGGATCTCAGTTTCTAGGTCTGCTATAATTTATTTCTGAATTTTCCCTTTTTACTTTAGTACAATATCAGCTGCAACATTATTGTCTATATATAATATCTGTTGTTTGCTGTTGTTTTTGCTCACAATTCTCTTTTGTTTATTTATTCCTTACTCAGATTGAAAGAAGCTGAACCTTTTGGCATCTGACAAAGTTTCTCCTGATCTCTTATCAGTTGTTTGGCAAGCCACCAAGATGCTTCGCCTTTTGCTGTTCTTATGCACCCTTATGACTCTGACAGGTATTAACACACATCTGTATTATATAGGCACAAACATTTGCTGTTTTTGCTAGCTTCATGCCAATCATTACATTTATGCAATTGGATATAAATGTTTGTATCAACATAGCATTTCAACCTTCGTTCCTTTTCATTGAAAAAAAATATTTTTAAAGGGTCAAGGATCTAAATGCTGAAGCCCTAAAATATTGGTGGCTGTGATTAAGCATTTGGTAACCAGTAAATTTCTAGTGATTTCAATAAAAATGTATGTAGAATGCTAAGAATATATAAAAAAGAATAAAACAGTTTTCTTCATTGATGAATGAAGAACTACGAAGTGTCTACTAACAAAAATTTACTGATTTAAAGCTGAATTATCAATCTCCTGCCATGGATTTGTTCAGGCTTCTGACCCACATACAGAGGTTAACTCCCAGAAGACACAAATAAAATCAGGTTAAAAAAATATATTAACCGACAGCATGGAGGGCAGCTGAGGGTATATAAAAAAACAAAACAGCTCTGGAGTTCTGCTCCTCTGAAAAACAGGCTATTGGGTTAAAAACGAAAGTGACTGGGGAAAGATTGCAGCAAACAGCAGGCTTACTTTTCGAGTCTTTTGCTGAGAACTAGGTAGGGTAGAGGAGACAGAGCATTTCCTGTTGTTGGCCCCAGACCTTGGCATACTTTGCCCCTCAATATACGAACAGCCTCCACAGTCGAGTGTTTGAAGTCTGGTCTTAAGGTCCACTTTTACTCTTTGCCTTTTAACACCGCATAATGGTGTGATCTTTAGTGTCCTTTTTATTTATTTACTCCTTTCTTAAATTCTTACTACTTTTTAGTGTGTGTATTTTTTTATGTACACCACATTGGAGACATTTTTTACGGTTAAATGTGCTATATAAATATTGTGGATTGGATTGGTAGAGAACAACGCGTCCTTCCAGTAGAGATTGTTAGGCCCACGGCTGTTGCTGGGTGACAGATTGCCTAAGGAGGAGTGGTTCCAGTCCGTTCCCCTCTGGAGGGAAGGCTCTGCTTAAAGGCTCGTAAATTCTCAGTAATGGGTTACCTAAAAAAATCATGAACAAAATTACTTTGATGTAGAAAGTTGCAAGGAGCAAAGGAGGTATGGAAGCAAATCGTTACCATATTTAAAATGAAAAAGCATTTTCAGAAAAGCTTTTTCATTTTAAGAATGTGGCTGCATTACTTGACTCATTAATGAAATTAGTAATCAATCATCCTGTTTGCATTTTCATTTTCTCCTTTAACACTGCTCATCCTTTTACTTAATTAAAATGAAAAAGAAAAAGACATTTGAGATTTATTTTTCAAAATGTACCCCAGAAAATATATACCAAAATTCAATTTGAAATGTAAAATTTTAAAATGAAAAAGCATTTCCAGAAAGGCTTTTTCATTTTAAGAATGTGGCTGCATTGCTTGACTCATAAATGAAATTAGTAATCAATCATCCGATTTGCATTTTAATTTGCTTCTTTGCTTCAGTGTTGTCTCACTGCGCGCTTGGATTGGTTCCTGCACGCTAAAACCGATGGCACAAATATCTCTCCATAGCTACCCATCTTGTTCGGTGGGGGGCCCTGTGCACGTCTGCATTGCATTACATTGTAAGCGTGCCGCTGGGACACTGGTTGAACGACCACAATGACCAAAACAGTGGCAGAGTGCCCATATACCAAAAATTGGTTGAAAGGGCAGTGAAAAGATGGCAGGCTTGACTTCTAGACTAAGTCTGCATTTTGTGGAAAACTGAAAGGTGAAAAGCCTTAATTTTCAGGATTTCAACGTCCGTTATTCGACTAAAATGGGACCAAATCTGACAGACCAAACACAGCCCAATTTTCAACCACTATCTCTGGCCTAAACCAAAACTATGAGGAACTGAACAAATTTAGCCTAAAATCTAACATGTTGGGGGGGGAGGTATCCATTCTGCTAATAATCAGAAATCACATATTTGTCACCAAAACAACCAGAAACCGAAAAAAGTAATAATAAATAAACATGTAATGAAAATGATTCAATTGAAATTAGACTAGGCTTTTGAGTTTTGGTTTAATAGAATAACTTTCAAAAGTAAAAGACACATTCTTAAGAATGCCTCCATAGTCTAGAGATTTTCTGTCACCCTGCAAAGATTCCATTTATATCATTAATGATTGAAAACCAGGTGTGTCAAATTGTTCAAGAATCGTCATTTGCTGGAATCCATGATCTGAATTGTTCACCATTTTATTCATCCATAGGATTATGTAATTGTAATTATGTATGTTCGAGTGACTGATCTGAGGATGTTTCTGCTCTTTATGTTTCTCTGCTACAAACTAAAATGAAAGTAATAGGCTGTGTATTTTAGCATGGACTTACTATATGTTCTAGATTTCCTGATTCAAAGGCAAACCGAGGAAAACCAAGAATACAGGAGAAGCTCCTGAAATTCAAACATCATCTTTTCAGAATGTAATTTCAGATGTTTTTTTGTTTGACTTTTATTGTGGAAGTTATTATTAACAGTATCTCTCTCTCTCTCCCTCCCTATATGTTGTAGAACAAGCTCTCTCATGTGTAGTGGGAAGTTGTTCTGCAGGCATGGACTGCATCAGCGTAAATGGAGCTCTTCAGTGCGTCGATCCCTGTAGCCACTATACTGAACTACATGATGATTGGCGCTCAGTGAATAACACAGACCAGTCCAATATAAAGTGTGACCAAAATATTAACTGGGATGGCTGGTATCGTTTTTATCTAAACCAGATCAGTGCTTCTATTCCTGAACACTGTGTGGAAAAAAACCGATGTGGGACCCATGCTCCTTTGTTCATAACAGAGCCTCATCCTGCACAGATCAATGAAATTGTGACACGCACTGTGTGTGGTCACTGGGACTCTAACTGTTGTCAGTTTGCCTCAAACTCTATAAAGGTCAAGCTCTGCCCTGCAAACTTCTACATTTACAAACTTCAGAAACCATCTAATTGCCATCTTGCTTACTGTGCAGGTACTGTTCCATGATCACAATTATTATTATTTTTAAATGTTTCAGTGTTTGTCTTTAACCCAGAACATCTTGATATAATTCTTTTTCCAGAAATAGCTCCGCAGAACGTGTTTGATTTAAAATCAGTGGGACAAACTGAGACCAGCATCACTCTACAGTGGGGCAGATCAAGCAGCATTGTCAACTTTGTTCTCCAGTATAATGGTATCGAGATACAAGTCGGAGCACAGAGTGGAAGTGGACCGGTAACATACACCGTTTCATCCCTCACCCCAGCAACTAAATACACCTTTACTGTTTCTGATGTGCTTGGAAATGTTAGAAACCGAGGAGTACAACTTACAGCTGCCACTGGTAAGATGCTTCACTTTTACTTTTGGAAAGAAAATTTATCATTATTATTATTTTCATCAGCAGCAGGATTTGCTTGAGATCCAATGTCATGGTCTTACTTTCTGTTTTACTTTAATCCGTGTGTTTTATTGGCTTATTTCCTACTTTGTGTTTCTAGATTTATTTTAGTTGCCCACTTGTGTGTGTGTTCCTTTCCCCTTGGCTTCCTCGTTGTCTCCTCTCACACCTGCTCCTTATCAGCTCGTTAGCCCTGCCTTTGTCTCAGTCAGCTACATATACTCTCCCTCTGCAGTCACTCCTTGTTGGTTCCTTGTCGTCGCCTGTTTCTCTTTGCTGTTGTCTTCCTACCTCATCTCTCCATTGCTTCTCCTGTTGGGTCTCCCCTGATGTCTCCATGTTTCCGGTTTGTTTTGCATTTTTTTGTTGGATTTTTGGATTCCTGCCTTTGTTAACTGTTTTTTTCCCCAATTAAACTGCAAGAAGTCCCCTCAGCCACTCTGCCTCTGCATTTGGATCCAAAAGAACCTCCAACACAACTCTGACAGCCAAAATTTCCTGATTAAATTTTCAGCTTCTATTGAGCCTGGTAACGGACCTGACAAAAAATTACAAAACACGAAATACTAAATCGTTCCCAGGAAATATTAACTTGTGGCCAATATAACTGATAAACCAATGAGTTCTCTAATTTGTGCACAAACGTGTTTTCATGATGTAGTTATCTTTTGCCACAGCATAAGTATATGGTGCGCATAAAATTCTGAAACATAGTCCTCCTTCAACACACCTTCTGTAACAGTTGGAGGAAGAAACCAGCAGGATAGACAAGGGAAGTCGGGAGTTTTGATTCAGGTGGGAAAAGATAAACTATAGAGATTCAGACTTACTATTATTTTGGTATTTAAATAAAACCTTAAAAACCAGGTATAAATGATGACCAGATGTGTGCAGGACTGTGCTGTAACCTGTTGCTGTCCAACTGGTGTTTTTCTCTAAAACTTTCATCTTAAGGTCCAATTGAAGGAGGGAATTATGCAAATGTATTGATGTGATCACTGCAGAGGTATCCAATCAAGCAGCACAGAAGTGAATTAGTTACTTGTCACATGGTATTGTGTGCATCTTACTGTATAGGCAACTGCAAATATTAACAGAGGTAGATATAATGTGTAGGTGGAGAAAATGCAGGCATAAGACAAGAGCAGAGAAAGGACCTTTTCTTTTAGAGCTGTAAAATTACGGAACAAAAATATACTAGGACCTGTCGCCTAAGATGACTTGGAGCCATGGAGATTACATTTCGGTTTCAATGCAAAGAAAGGGCCAAATCTAGGTGTTAAAATAATGTATTCCCTTAGAACAAAAACAATATTTCTATCAGTTTTTCAGTGTTTCAAATTCACTTTTCACATTAAAACATACATTTAGAAGTTCTATTAAGAGGTGATCAAAAACACTCTTACATATTTAAACATGGATTTTGGTTTTTAGATAACATGATAGTTAATTTCTCTATTAGATTCTTTTACAATAGGATATCTCTTTTGACCAGTACATCTAATTATCTTTTAAAGTAACATCCTGTTACACTGTAAAAATGTTGTTGCCAGTGGTGTCTAAAGTACACACATTTGTTACTTCAGTAGAAGTATAGATACTGCATTTTAAAAACACTCTGGTAAAAGTTGAAGTATCAACTTGATCTCTTTACTGAAATAAAAGGCTACATTCACACTGCAGCCTGAAGTGACCAAGATACGATTTTTTGGCCCATATGTGACCTGTATCTGATCTTTTCCTGGCAGTCTGAACAACTAAGATCCTATTTTTTTTTTCAATCCGAAACAGGCCACTTGGTTATATGGTCCTGAATCCAATACAAATCTGATCTTTTCAAATATGACCTGTGTCTGAACGGCCAGGTCGGATTTATCTGTCCTGAACGTCATCAATACCCGACAAAGGTCACTATTCTGCATCTTGATATGCTGAAGCTGCAAGAAAAACAACCATGGCAGATGATGATGAGCAGTATTTATGTTTAACTATATTGAAAAGATTGAGTTTTTATGGTTGGAAAAGACCGCTAGATGTGCGCCGGCACTACATCCATGTTTACTTCCAGGAAAAAAAAAGCATGCTGGACTATAACGTCATCGTGTCCTCTACTGCACATGCGGGACACTTGCCTTGTATGACTGCAGTTCACAAGGGAGATCACATACAAGTCGCATATATTTGGAAATATAAACATCATAAAAAAATTGGATTTTGCAAAAAAAAATCGGAATTGACCCTCAAGGCCTGCAGTGTGAATGTAGCCAAAGTCAAAAACTATGTGCTCAAAAAACTACTTAAAGTATAAAGTAACCTTTAAAAAAAAACAGCCAGATGCCACTATGTGAATTGAAAGCTCAATTTTTTGACTTTTTTGAAAATTTCTCTGAGAAAGAGGCCAAGGATGAGGGAGGTCTTGTTGGTGTCCGTCTCCATCTCCTGATACGCTCTCACCAGTGTCCGACCTTTCAGACATTTCAACATCTTTTCCTGTATCCCACATTGTAGCATGGCATAGACAATTCACGTTAGCAGTTTGAAGAACACCTGCTTGCTTCTGATGATTTCCTTTAGCTAACCAATGAGTGTTTGCGTTATATGACTCATCCAATCACACTAGTTTTCACTAGATGTGGATGGAGCCAATGATCTGCATTGGATGGAGCACATGATGTGAAATAAATTTGTTACTTGATGCCTCTGGGCACGGCTGAGGTTAGAAGTGATTAAGCCCACCCTTCATTCAGCTCAATGTTTGAATCCAAACAAGTAATCTGCTGATGTAATTTCTGAGTTTGTTTGGAATGTTCAGAGCTTGTACGTTCTTTTAAGCATCACTAGTAGAGTGATATGTTTGGCTCTTGAAATGACGACCAAACATTGAACCGATCGGAGAGTTGGGTGAATTAATTTTTTGTCTTCTTTGTGTCCCAAACCAATCAGCCCAATTGTGTGATAATTTATAATACAAGCTATGCACTTGTTATTTCTTGTCCCCTTTTAGAACTGCTTGATGGATGATCATCAAGAACAAATGTAGAAGCCCAGTTACCATCTTTTCTAGAAAGTTCTTGTGTCCTTGCTCCGATGAGCATTACATCATTCTTGGGAGCATGAGCTGACTTCTCCCACACTACAGCACAGTACTCAGCTGTTTAGTAGCACAGCGCCAGTGCAGACTGTTTGAGGTTGTTGGGGTCGGCACCTCAGTTGGTGTTTGCAAGGTTGTCCAGAAGGTTGTTGCAAGTGGATACCTTCCCCCGGAGCTTAAAAACACGCTTTTTGAAGTCAAGGTCCTGTCAAGGGTGACGCCTTAGTACACCGGGTAGGGTGTATTCTCTAGTTCTTTCCCTTCCCATGCCAGCTTTCTAGATGCGGCTCAGTTGTTTAGATGGAAGGCAAGGCAAGGCAAGGCAAATTTATTTGTATAGCACAATTCAGTACAAAGACAATGCAAATAGCTTTACATTATAAAATATAGGAAAATAAAACAGAATCAAAGCAACTAGGAAAACAATTTAGGTACATGCAGGATCACCCAAGGTGGATGTTTATGCCAGAACTGCATTTGGTCAAGTTGAGAAGGATATCCTCACTGACATTCTCCAGATGTTAGTTTTAAAGGATGGAGTGTTGGCCTAGTGGTTAGAGCAATGCGTTTGTGCTCTGAGGAGGTTTCAAGGAACCCACAGCCTGCACTGTGCTTTCCTAAGAAAAAACCCTTAACTCCTGATTGCTCCCTGGGCGCCACACAATGGCAGCCCACTGCTCCCTAAGGGGATGGGTTAAAATGCAGAGAACAGATTTCCCCATTGTGGGCCAATAAAGGGATTTACATTACATTAATATCACACACTGATTATCAGGATGGCTGTGAAATTGTCATTCTTCAAACTTTCCCACTGTTGGAATGATTTTTATTTTCTTTGTATAAATAACTGGTGAGGGATGCTGTCAGGTTGAAGAAGGAGGCCTATCGGGCCTTTTTGGCCTGTGGGACTCCGGAATCAGCTGATGGGTACCGGCGGGCGAAGCGGCATGCGGCTCGGATGGTTGCTGAGGCAAAAACTCGGGTGTGGGAGGAGTTTGGAGAGGCCATGGAGAAAGACTTCCGCACGGCTCCGAAGCGATTCTGGTCCGCCATCCGGCGTCTCAGGAGGGGGAAGCAGTGCAGCACCAACACTGTTTATAGTGGGGATGGTGTGCTGCTGACCTCAACTCGGGACGTTGTGGGTCGGTGGGCGGAATACTTCGAAGACCTCCTCAATCCCACCAACATGTCTTCTATTGAGGAAGCTGGGCCTGGGGACTCTGGACTGGGCTCTCCAATCTCTGTGGGCGAGGTCGCCGAGGTGGTTAAAAAGCTCCTCGGTGGCAGGGCCCCGGGGGTGGATGAGATCCGCCCAGAGTTCCTGAAGGTCCTGGATGTTGTAGGGTTGTGTTGGCTGACACGACTCTTCAACATTGCATGGACATTGGGGGCAGTTCCCCTGGATTGGCAGACTGGGGTGGTGGTCCCCCTATTCAAAAAGGGGGACCGGAGGGTGTGCTCCAATTACAGGGGAGTCACACTCTTAAGCCTCCCTGGCAAGGTCTATTCGGGGGTGCTGGAGAGGAGGGTCCGTCGGATAGTCGAACCTCGGATTCAGGAAGAGCAGTGTGGTTTCCGTCCTGGTCGTGGAACGCTGGACCAGCTCTACACCCTCAGCAGGGTCCTGGAGGGTGCATGGGAGTTCGCCCAACCAGTCTACATGTGCTTTGTGGACTTGGAGAAGGCGTTCGACCGTGTCCCTCGGGGGGCCCTGTGGGGGGTTCTCCGGGAGTACGGGGTGCCGGGTCCTTTGATACGGGCTGTCAGGTCTCTGTATGACCGGTGTCAGAGTCTGGTTCGCATTGCCGGCAGTAAGTCGGGCTCGTTTCCAGTGAGAGTTGGACTTCGCCAGGTCTGCCCTTTGTCACCGATTCTGTTCATTACCTTCATGGACAGAATTTCTAGGCGCAGCCAAGGTGTTGAGGGGATCCGTTTTGGTGGCCTTAGGATTGCGTCTCTGCTTTTTGCAGATGATGTGGTCCTATTGGCTTCATCAGGTCGTGATCTGCAGCTCTCGCTGGATCGGTTCGCAGCCGAGTGTGAAGCGGCCGGGATGGGGATCAGTGCCTCCAAATCCGAGGCCATGGTCTTGAGCCGGAAAAGGGTAGAGTGCCTTCTCCGGGTCAGGGGGGGTGTCCTGCCCCAAGTGGAGGAGTTTAAGTATCTTGGGTTCTTGTTCGCGAATGAGGGAAGAAGGGAGCGGGAGGTCGACAGGCGGATTGGTGCAGCGTCTGCCGTGAAGCGGGCGCTGTACCGGTCCGTCGTGGTGAAGAGAGAGCTGAGTCAAAAAGCGAAGCTCTCGATTTACCGGTCGATCTACGTTCCTACCCTCATCTATGGTCATGAACTCTGGGTCATGACCGAAAGAACGAGATCGCGGATACAAGCGGCCGAAATGGGTTTCCTCCGTAGTGTGGCTGGGCTCTCCCTTAGAGATAGGGTGAGAAGCTCGGTCATCCGGGAGGGACTCGGAGTAGAGCCGCTGCTCCTCCACGTCGAGAGGAGCCAGTTGAGGTGGCTTGGGCATCTGTTTAGGATGGCTCCTGGACGCCTCCCTGGTGAGGTGTTCCGGGCACGTCCCACCGGGGGGAGGCCCCGGGGAAGACCCAGGACACGCTGGAGAGACTATGTTTCTCGGCTGGCCTGGGAACGCCTTGGGGTTCCTCCTGAAGAGCTGGAAGAAGTGGCTGGGGAGAGGGAAGTCTGGGCCTCCCTTCTTAAGCTGCTGCCCCCGCGACCCGACCCCGGATAAGCGGAGGAAGATGGATGGATGGATGGATGGATGGATGGATAAATAACTAATTAATTCATATTTCCATCTGACATTTCATGAACTTGCACGATATAATTGACATGTAGTGTGATGCAACGTTTAAAACATTTCTAAATTTGCTCTTCAGCTCCTCAAAATCCAACTGGCCTGCTGTCCTTAAGTGAAACAGAGACCAGTATAACTCTGCAGTGGCAAAGAGTGAGCAACGTCACAAACTTCATTCTGCAGTTCAACGGTACCATGACAAGAGTTGATGCTCCAGCTGGAAATGGACCAATAAATCACACAGTCTCATCACTTTCTGCTGAAACCACATACACCTTCACGCTGTTCTCTGTGTTTGAGAATGTTCAAAGTACTGGAGTCCAACTTGTTGCTCAGACTGGTAAGATTTTAATATTATTTGTCATTTTATCATGATGGGCAGCAAGCTTAATCTCTTCTTAGAGATACTTGTGTAATTTAGGTTTGATGAATATCAACTGCAATTCTCATTTAAATTTTCACACAAAGTTATCTAAAATTTCATACCATCTCTATTTCACACTCTCAGAAACTTTGTGTTTTCATGTCTGCAGGATCTTCTTCAGAGATATTCAATGCAGCTAAGATGTTCAACCTCACCTTGTGCCCCATATTTTTTTATCAGAACATGTACCAGCAGGTCTATGTAAGTAAAAGGGAGCCAAATTCTTCAGAATAAACCTGAATATTTGCTAGCTTGGGTTACGAGGCAAGTTTTTAACATGCAGCAGCAAGTTCATCCATCCCATTTAGTGGTTGAATCTTAACCCTGTAATGCCAAATGTATTGTATTTGATACATACAGTTTCTGAAATATTTTGCATCTGACACCTTTTGCATAATTTAATGGTAAAAACTTTGCTCAAAATCCTATTGTACACAATCAGATATACCTGATAACAGCCAGTAGAAGACTACACAAAAAATTATCTTGACTTATCGCATAGTAATAAATGATTAATATCAAAAATGTATTTCTGTTTTTTTCTTTTTACATATTTTGTTAAAATATTTTGTTTAAAACCAAAAAAGTAATTTTCTGTTTTGTTTTATTCTTGGATTGGGCTTTAAAGGGTTCATGTTTAGTTATAAGATGCCATATATTTCATATGAAAGATAATCCTAAATGCTTTGTCTGGACATTTGTCAAATCGTGGATAATTCCCTACCTGACTGCTTTCTTCTAAAACCATGTTGCAAACCAATCACACGTTTGAAATTCTGTATCATCCCTTTGTTTGTTTTGTTTTTTTACAGGTCAACTTCACCAATGAGAACTTTGTGATTTGCTTCAATGGTTTTTACAACCTCAGTAGCGACGGTGACTGCATTATTGGGCCTAAACCGGACTCTGAGGAGGCGAAATTCAAGATCAGGGAAAAAGATGCTTCGTATGAAGCACAACTCAAAGGAGCAGTGCAAACCATCACCAGCAGCATGAAGTGCTATGTGCATTTTGAGTTGATGTACATGAACAAAGAAGTAAGTATCATGTCCAAAATGCCATTTGAAGACATTTTTTAATTCCTCCTGCTTATAGATTAACACTTTACTAACCGACACATGAAATCCCTAAAGTACCTCATTAAAAAAGTGTTTCTTTTTTAATGAAGGTAAACCTAAACCTCTTCAGTTTTGGGGAACAAGCAGCTCTGCATTTCAGTTCTGTCTCCAATGACCCCGAAGAGGTAAGTTTTTTTTTTTGGTGTGTTATTTGTATATATTCTGTACTTTACTTATTGTAAGACAACGAAATGTCTTTGAAAACAATATTATGAATGAAATTCTTAAGGTAAAATGTAGTTATGAACTATTTAAACGATAATCTCCTATCTTTATGTTTCTTTCTTTTATGCTCTCTGTTTAGAACAATAACAAACTATTTTTTTTTTTTGCTTTTATAGACGGCAGATGTAAAAGTTGAGGGGAGGCTAGCTGACTCTGTGCCTCTTGGATCAGCTGACTCTGGTGGATTTACAGACATCAGCGGCTGCAGGATGTCAGGTTGGTGAATCACTTTTTTTTTGTCCTAAATCTGTGAAGCAATGCTGAAGAGAAATCAAAGGTGTTCTTTGAGTTTTGACTCCCAAAAATCTCCCTTTATTCTTCAGGCCTTGGGATTTTGCCCAACTCCACGGTACGTATCCAGAAAACCTGCTCAACCTTAACCTGCAGTGTCGACAGATCTGTCACTTCAACAAGCTGTGGAGACCAGGAGGAATGTGACGGTCATGGCAGGTAAACACTATTTACTTTTATAATGTAAAATCCTGGTTAGGCAGAAAGCTATGGACTATCAACACTAGAACCTCACACCACAAGAACCGTTCATTTAGCTTCTGAGGTCAGTCTCATCAGTAAAGACCGCCCCCCCCCCCCCCCCCCCCCCCCCCCCATTGATGATGATTGAGTTACCTTAACCAACATGCCAGAGAGAAAGGAGACAGAGATAAAAAAAAAAATGAAACAATTTGTGCTTTAAATTGTTGTTTTTAGTGTTGAGAAAATGTGTTTGTATCTCGCTAATAAATCTCTTTTGTTTAAAAAAGTTATGGTTCTACTTCAATCTGTGACATCATCTGATTAAAGGCTTCTACAAAGCAAGCTCCCAGTCTGAACTTCAACCCTAGCTCTCTGGTTCTATCACAGTATTACATATTAGCAGTTTTTTTTATTGGCCAAGGTCAGAGGTGTGATAATCCAGGCCTTGAGTGCTAATCTTTAGGATGCAGCCCTGCTGCAACAGCCCTGGGTTCTGTTTTACAAAGCAAGTTTACGGAAAACTACGTTTTCTCAACCTGAATTCAAGGAAGCCGAGTTTTCTGTTTCCCAAAGAGAGTTTATGTAACCTCTTTTTCTGTTACCATAGTAACATTCTAAACTCAGTGTCCTTTGCCTCCACTCTTCTTTTAGCCAATCAGGATGTCTTATTTCCTTATTTGATTGGAAGAGTTCTCTTGTAGTTACCTGCAAGCAAGAAAAATCATTCACTTGGTTCATTGGAGACACTAGGTATTAAAAACACAAATATATCATGTCTTTTAGATGAGGATCCAATAAAAAACTGAGCTGCATTAATTCTCAGAGATTTCCATATTTATAGGGAGAGGTTTCTCAGACAGCGTTTTGGTGTCCTTCATATTCAGAATGTTCCATTTGTTGCAGGACTAGAAGAACCAGAGATACAGATTCCTATGTTCTCTAGTTAAAAAACAGTAAATGACTTCCTTCCTGTGATGGTGGCAAACTCAATTAGATCAACAGCTAACATAATGCTAACTAAGCTAATTGCATGTTACATTGCACAGTTGACTGATTGATTTGCTTTCTGTAAAGAACCTTGAGATGACTTGTGATGTGAATTGGTGCAATATAAATAAACTGAATGGAACTGAATTGATTATTTTACTTCTATTCAGTTTCCTCGGTACTTTCAAACCTTTGGCCATGTGGGCCAAAACTGTCAATTTTACAGTAACCGAGACATTTTTATTTCATCTTGAATTTAAAATGACATATTTGGTAAAATCTTTCATTTTAATCTATGCAACTACAAACAAAACAAAACCTCAATCCAATAAAACGTCTGTTTAGAGATCTGAAATATAAAATCTAATTCTTAATCAAAAAATGCAAACAGTATTTTAACACTGAAGTAAATGGCTTGAGCAGAAGCTGCATGTCAGGAAAGTTTCAACCCAGGTGAGCGCAGAGGTGGCTTCAACTCTAATATGAACGTATCTTTATATGTCTTTCTCCATCAGGTGCTTTATAAACAGGATCTGCACTGTGACCGGCCCCACTGTGGTCGACTCTCAAGGCTATCAGAGCTCTGTGACGGATCGGTGCATGTACTCTCTGCTGTCAGACTCATCCAGCAGTTTTGAAGTGCTGGCTAACTTCCAGGAACGTCGCCGTCGGGATGTGAGCTTTTTGGACCGTGTGAGCCTTCGACCCTTTGGCTCAAATGATTACTTTCACCTGGAACAAGGTGGCAGAGTAAAGGTAATTCCCAGCAAATCTGATTAATATTCCTCTATACTGCTTTCCTTGGCCACATAGGTTCTCTTCCTATGACTAACTGCTCTTCTTTGACTCTGCTGCACACAGATGAACGAGACATTGTTGACCCTGAACAGTTCAGCCCAGCAGATTCAGAATATTATGTTAAGCAAGGACAAAACTGGACTGTCAGCAGTGTTTTCATTCTCGGGGCTGAAAATATCGGTGATGTTTGATGGCTACACAGCACAGATCCACATGAATGGTAGGGAACCTATAAGGCAGTAAGAAACCCTTAATTAACATTCAGATTTTTCACATTCTGCTCGTTTTCTCCGATGGAAGATCATTCCTGCTGAAAATAAGATTTATTTGAACACAAAATTAGAAGAATAGAAACATAAGTTTGTTTGATTTTTTTGTGTTCCTAACTGAATATAATCTTTTTATTACATTTGAGGGCACGGTCATTTATTTGTTTAACGGTTTTCAGGGCAAGTAATTTCTTTTATCAGTTATTTATTCGTAGTGCCTGCTGGTAGTGGTCAGAGTGTACAGGCTATTTACCTTTTATATTCTGTATTTATTCCAAATTATTGTGGGATTAATCCTCCATTCATGGATTCATTGTTTCTATAGCAACAGATACGTAACATTTTAATCTCTAAATGTGCAAAAAGGACACAGCCTGTAAGATGTAAACCTGTAATTGAAGCCAAATGGTGGTTGGCACATGGAGGCTGAATTTAAAACAACAAATAATAGATTGATGTTGTGTGATATGATGGTAGGAAAGCTACCAATAGTTTCTACACTAGACAAATATTTTAGTGACCTTCTCTTTGACTGATGCTGCTTTTACCAACATTATGTCTGGAATCATTTAGTACCTGTTGGATCATCGATGAAGGGCCTATGTGTTGACTCCAGGAACATTTCAAGTGTGAAACGTCTTGATTTAAGCTCTCCAAGGTACGACGTTGTTATGAATAAGCAGTTAAAAACAATTATTCTGCATTTCAAAGGATTCCCCCAAAAACATGAAGCTGAGTTGTCCTTTTATTTTTTATTTTTTTCATTTTGCCAGCTGTGAAAGGCAGTATGAAGATCCTGTCGACAGTCAAATAAACTGCAACATGACAGCTGAATAGTGAGTAGATTTATAAAAATCTCTGTTATTCTTTGGGGTCATTTTCATGCTATATGGCATCATGTACGATGACCTAAAGTGGAGGAATAATTTTCTTTCCTTTCTGTGTGATAAAGCTGTAACCTGTTAAGGGCCCCCCCCTTCTCCTCCTGCAATGATCACATCGACCCAACTCCCCACATCAATGCCTGCAGCAGCACTTTGTGCAAATATCCTTCTGTGGACGACCTCAGATGTCAGTTTCTGTGGGGCTACGCCAGAGCCTGTAGCCTGCAAAGCAACATAAAACTGGAGGGCTGGTGGTCAGAAGCAATGCTGTAAACAATCCCCAAACTTCAGGGGGTACGTTTTACAGTTTTCATGTTTTCGAATTTAAAAAATCACTTTCCTTCCCTGCAGCCGAGCCCAGGCTTTTTCCAGGAAAGCTCTGCGGTGATCAGAATTTTGGGCAACAAGCAAGGGGAAGACTGGCGCCTCTGCGGCCCTTTTTGCCTCCAATACAAATGCTGGACTTGGGGGGACATTGCTGAGAAATACACAATAATCTGGTCTTTGGGGAAAAACTAGATCAGAGTTTTAAAGATGCTTTAATTTCCCAGGGGACCAGCGGTCTGCAAGCAGAACCTGGTTCCATCATCTTGTTTTGCCTGCTAGAGGAAAAAGGCATCGACACTCAGTGTTGCACCCAAAACCCCGGGCTGAGGGGCGGATGGACGAGGGACCACACAGTACCTTTTCTTGACAGCAGAATCCTTTGGGACGGGGGATCACGGGGGATCTTATTTCATCCCTGCTTCCCCTTTTTTGGGAAACATTTTTTGTTTCTTTTCAATTTTCTATCCATTTTGGGCAATAATATAAACCAAAAAGCAAAAAAAGAGATAACTGCCCTTTTTCTCCAAGTTTAAAAAGAAGAGTTTTATTCTGCAGAGAAATGGCAGCCAGGGAAATACGAGAAACCCATGACCCAGAACCCTTTTGAAACACTCCCATGATCAGGTTACATCAACTTCCCTGCACCATACTAACTAGAAAAGGGTGGACCAAATTAAAGACAAGTGAGTGACTGCAGGCAACTTTTGTTTCGTCATTTATGGAAATTTTTTTGTGATGTCCGAGTTTAATAAGCCTCCATGTGTTTGGGTTTCTCCAGCTCTTGGGCCAGCACATCAAATCTGGAGAATGGAGCTACTCTGTGTCTATGAAACATATGTAACCTGGCTACACAAAACCTACGATTCTCTTGTGCTAAACCAGAAAATCTGGGTGGAGCTGAAACCGACGGACGGATCTAACAGGTTGCCGTGGTGATCGATCATGCTGGGCAACCCGCCAGGAATCAGACAGCAGCAAACCAAGATATACTTTATTTTAAAGATGGGTGAGATCAGACTGTAAAGCGAAAATGAGAAATCTAGACGGTTTTCAGATTGGGCTTTAAAAACTACATCAAATGGTTTTTATTTTTCCCAGCTGTGCTAACCCAAATGAGGGCAGTGGGGGTGGAAACAAAAAGGGAGGAAAACCCCCTGACTTCTTTACAACATGTTTTAGTTCTCTGGGGGCGCTGGTGAAGTCTACCCCCACTGCAAACTGCACGTGTCTCAAAACCGAACAACTTATTTCCGTGAAAAAACTATCCAAACCATTTCCCTTCATTTCTTATAGGGGTTGAAGGTTTTAAAATCAAAACTAAAAATGACTCTTCTTAGTTTGTGAGAAGATAATTCTTCAAAAATGATGCTGGAAATATTGGGCCCGGTCTGCAAAAATTAATGTTTCTTTGTGTTTTAATGTCAGGATTGTCCGGTGGATTTTTGGGGAAGCGAAGGGCTGCGACTCTCAGAGAGGAGACCCAGGCTTCATCAGCCTGGCCTGGATTTTATTAGGGGAAGACGCTTTGTTTTTTTCATCATTGCCAACGTCCTTTACCTCAGAACTGGAAATGGCAATTTAAATGCTATTCTTTTAAAATAAAAATTTAGGTATTTGTTCAACTTTCATGAGGCTATAATTAATTAATTTAAACTTATTTATATCTTAAAATTTAAACTTTTGTTAAGTTTATTTATACTTGTTGTTAATTCTGCCATTTTACACACACATTTTTAAAAAACTATATAAAAGCATATAAAAAAATATCAATGAAAAGATTGTAGAGTGAAAAAAAGAAACTGTCACAAAAAATTAAGTTTAAGAATTAATAATTGAATATTTTAAATTACATTTTTTAAAAGACCAAGATCATTTTTATTCTTTTTATATAAACATCGATTTTCCTGTTTTATTTTTATTCTCGCTCCTCAGACGACATTCCCGGGGTCATAACAATAAAACCCCAAAGGGTTTGCAGCGATAAAAAACCAAAAAGTGCAAAAAAAAAAATTTACAGAGCAAGTTGTTAAACACCTTTTTCAGAGGATAAATGTTCACATTTCATTTCTTTGTTTTTCCCCCAGGGGGTTCCATGTAAACGGTGAGCGGCCCCCTGGACCTTTATGGATTCCTGACTTTAGTTGATCTACGATGGGTGTTTAGAAGTATTGGGTTTCTTGGTTTTAGGAGGGCCCCCTTCACTCTCTTTTTTGTAAATATTTGGGGACATAAAGAATTTAAATAATCCTGAAATAAGCTTTTTGTGGGTTTTGGGTTTAAATTGGATGTGGGGAAGCATGTGGGCTACATTTAAGCAAATTAATTTGTTTTCTTTTAAAGAATAATGTTTATGATCCTTTATTAGACATTAATGCATTGCAAACCTTGTACTTTCAATTTCTTAGAAACAAAATGCAAAAATAATACAAATAAAGATTCCATAAAGATTCCATCTCCTGTTTTATTTATTTTTTTACTTTCAATACTTTGCACAATAAGGTTTTTCAGGAAGCCTTCTTGCATGAAATAATCTATCTGTTTAATTTATCTGTAGATGGGAAATACACCTCCAGACAAACAAAACTGACTCAGTGACTCTTTGGTAAGGGGATATAAAAAGACTCTCACCAACTTTATCTGTTTAAAGCCTTGGTGGTATTTTTCTCTTTTAGATGTCAGGAGTTCCATTATCTTCCTAAAAAGTCCTACATGAGAGTGTCAACAAGCTTTTCCATTGACTTTCTATGCTTTATATTAATATTTCTTAACATAGCAAAATACTCTTAAGTGGATAAGTAATACATATATAATTCCCTTACATAATTACTATTGGTGAATTCAAAATTAGGTATTAAATGCTTATTTCCACCTCAGTGTTTGCATCCTTCCCTACTGTAAGCCTTTCAGTCAGCAGAGGGCAGTGTTGATTACTGATCGCTAATGGAAATGAATGAGTTTACAACACGTACTCGGGAACCACTCTATTGAGATCCAATAATGCAACAATACGTGCTGATAAATATAAATTTAAATATAAATCCAGGCATTGAATATTTGGACTTTGACTTAAAATGTGGAAATTGTGCATCCTAGACTCTTCCACAGTGTTTTTTAAACATATTGCTGACATAAACATTAACAACTTGAGGAGCACTGTCATAGAGTTTAATTAAGATTCAAATTAGATTAATGTTGTTAATTGCAATATTACCATGGAAATTGAGTGTGCAACTGAGTGTGCAGCTGTTCAGAGGATCTCCATCTGAAGTTAAGTTATTTTCTCTGTGATATCTCTGTATCTAAGTAACTCTAACTGACTACTTTAAAACATAGCACCTTCTGCTGCACTTTTCTACTGAGCACTTGTCAGTTTCACACGGTTTTATTTCTGATAGCAAGAAGTAGCTAGCCTAGGCTAGCGCTAGCTTAGCATTGCTATGGCTTCTCTCTCTCCCTCCCTTGACTCTTTTCCAACTCTTCCTTCTTCCTCTCCTCTCTCCTGCTCTCTGTGTCAGATGTTCAGTTATTCCTCTGCCTCCTTTAGTGATAATGGGATGTGTAATAAGTGTAGTATTTTTGTAGCTTTGGAGGCGAGGGTGTCAGAGTTAGAATCCAGGCTTCAGGCTGTTGAAGTAGGCCCCCCACGTAGCTGTCCTCCAAAAGTGCCTGAGCAGCCAGGCGATTGGGTAACTGTACACAGAAAGCGTAGTCGTGGATCTCTGCCCACTGGTCACCACCAACCCGTTCACGTTTCTAACCGGTTTTCCCCACTCAGTGACACACCCACTGAGAAGCCCACTCTGGTGATTGGCAGCTCCATAGTCAGAAACGTGGCATTAGAGACACCAGGGACCATAGTCAAATGTTTGCCGGGGGGCCAGAACGGGCGACATCAAATCCTACCTGAAACTACTGGCTAAGGATAAGGTTAAATAAAGTAAGATTGTTATTCACGCTGGTGGTAATGACACCCGGTTACGCCGATCGGAGGTCACTAAAATTAGTGTTGCTTCGGTGTGTAAGTTTGCCAAAAAAATGTCGGACTCTGTAATTTTCTCTGGTCCCCTCCCTGATCTGACCAGTGATGACATGTTTAGCCGCATGTCGTCATTCAATCGCTGGTTGTCTAGGTGGTGCCCTGAAAACAACGTGGGCTACATTAATAATTGGCAATCCTTTTGGGGAAAGCCTGGTCTGATTCGGAGAGACGGCATCCATCCCACTTTGGATGGTGCAGCTCTTCTTTCTAGGAATCTGGCCACATTTATTAGTCCTCCAAAACCCTGACCACCCAGGGTGCAGACCAGGAAGCAGAGTTGTAGTTTAACACACATCTCTGCAGCTTCTCTACTGTTACCCACTCTTTACTCCATCCAGACAGTGTCTTGCCCATGACCAAAATCTAATAAATTAGCAAAGATTCCCAAAGGAGTAAATCATGATAATCTAATTAAAATCAAAATAACTCCAATTGGGGAAAAAGTTAAAACAATTAAATGCGGTCTGTTTAACATAAGATCGCTTTCCTCTAAAAGTCTACTAGTTAATGACTTGATTTGTGATAATCACATTGACTTGTTTTGCCTTACAGAAACCTGGCTGCAGCAAGAGGATTATGTGAGCATAAATGAGGCAACTCCTTCAAGCTATTTAAATTTTCACATCCCCAGAAGTTCTGGGCGAGGAGGAGGAGTAGCAACAATCTTCGAGTCTGACTTACTGATTACTCCCAAAACAATGAATTCCTACAACTCTTTTGAACATTTAACCCTTAATTTCCCTGATCCAAATTTCAAGGCAAGAAAACCTCTTCTTTTTGTAACTTTGTATCGTCCACCAGGTCCTTACTCTGAATTTTTAGATGAGTTTTCAGAGTTCCTTTCTGATTTGGTATTAAATACTGACAGGGTCATCATAGTGGGGGATTTTAACATCCATGCTGACATTGAAGGCGATAGCTTAAGAGCAGCCTTTAATGCTATCTTAGACACTATTGGCTTTGTTCAAAATGTGAATAGTCCCACGCATTCTCATCTTCATACTTTGGATCTTGTGCTGACA